GGCTCTCCTTGTTTTGCCGTTGTGTAATCAATCTTTGGAAAGAGCACTGCCCTTATTGCTGTCGTTTCGGGGCCAGAACTGATGCAGGTGTCAACACCAAAAGTAAACACAAGCATATCCCACAATCCTCTGATGTCGTTTTGGGCGTGTTCAACTCTGAAATGCCAGAGGTCACAACATCTCTATGCATCTGCTCCTACAGGACGGACAAGATCAGTGACTAACAAATACCTCTTTTGTCTCGCTGAATTTGGATGATTTTTCCTGACTTGACCAGCCCCGGATCATTTAGAGCCTTCTATCCCTAATTTAGGGTATTTTTCCTCTACTTTTAATGTTGACCCAAGGGTAGCATAAGGGTAAAGACTAAGAGTTGTCTTTGGCGTTTTGTTATTTCACAGATTCATTAGAGTTCTTTCTTAATGTCACTTATATGGGTAATGTTTATTTGGCTGGAACAGGAGCATGTTAATGAACACACCTCTCTGGATTGCAGCCTTGGGCTAATTTGCTGACCCACAAACACGCACGCATTCACCTTGGACACCTTTTTTTTAGTAGTGGAGGAAATGGCCACAGTGGGGCGGTGGCTGCAGCTGTAAAGTGCCAAACTGTTTTTGTGTCCTTAGGCAAGACACTTCAGTCTGAGTCTGGTGCATGTGTGAATGGTTGGTGGTGGTCTGAGAGAGGGTGATGGCACATAGTGGTTGCCTCGCTTCTGTTAGTGTGCCCCAAGGTAGCTGTGGCCACAGTACCCGGTATTCTAGATGTTTTTTTACTGCTTAAAACCACAAATTCTTACATTTAGTGGAGATAACATGATGGAATGCATTTGTCCCTTTGATATTGTTGTTTATTGTAATGAGTTTGAGTGACTGGGCGCTCCCTCAAAGATAGGATGAGGGTCTCAGTCACACAGGAGGAGCTCAGAGTGGAGCCGCTGCTTCTCCACGTCCAGAGGCGTCAGTTGAGGTGGCTCGGGCAACTGTTTCGAAGGCCTCCTGGACGCCTTCCTGGAGAGGAGCTGAAGGAAGGGGTGTGTGTGGATAGGGAAGTCTGAGGCATCTCTGCTTTGACTGCTGCTGCTGCGACCCGGCAACGGATAAAGCGGAAGAAAATGGATGGATGGATGGGTTTATCTTACATGTCCCCAGTTTCTTTCCTTCCCGCTTCTATGACCTGTAACATTGCCAAGTGAAGTAGCCTGCTTGACTCCAATGTACATCGAAATGCTAAAATCCAAAAACAATAACAGTTAGATGGACTTGCACTTTTCAAAATATGAAGAGAGAATGAAACATTTTGAGAACGAGCACTGGCTAGGCCCGCCCATGTTCACCCTCGTAGCTTCCTGATTGGTTGGAATTAATTAAAGTACTTGAGGGCCCTTGTCATTGGTTTAACTGGTTTCTCCTCCAGCAAATCATACCGATTAGTTATGCCAAGAGAAGGGACCATTGTAAATGCAACTGTACACAGTAGTACCGTGTCCTATGGTCAGAAATGCTTAATCTAATCTTTTTTCAAACCCCTGATTAGTGTGAAGAACCTAACTATTCATTTTGTCAATCGTATGTTTGTGCGTTTTTTTTCTGTATTTTTGTTGTCTGTTTTTGTGTTATATTGACTGTTTATGTGTTTTATGCTAAAAATATATAACTGATAAACTAACTTTGAAAAAGTAAATACAATTTTGACCTTTAAGTCAAAACTATTGTCCATTATGACATAAAAAGTGCTGCACAAAATCCCTGGCTGTGTTTGCTAACCAGTCTCACTCCTAAAACAAAGCAGTTGCATTAACAATACCCTAAATACATTTTCTCCAATTAAAGTAAATGCGTGTTGAGTAATTTTATTAGTCTGCTAATATAATAAACGAAAAAATAAATAAACAAACAACGGAAAACAAAAAGACAGGGGAACAGTATTTGCAAATGCCTTGGCTGCGGTCCAGGCCTTCACACCGAGCAGTTGTGGTAACCTTTTAATAGTTTACCATCAATTCTATTCAAATTTACCTTTTCACACTTTTAAAAGGAAGTAAAACTTGTGATGTTGCTATGGCTACTAATGCTAGCTAACATGAAAAACATGAAATACAGTTGCATTCACAAAAACCCTATATGTATACACCGTATTGCCCCGTTAAAGTAAAAGCGGGTTGAGTAAAGTCCACTAATAAAAAAGGTAAAAGCAAACGGGGGAACAGTATTTGCGAGTGTCTTGGCTGCGGTCCAGCCTAGGCCTTCACACCACAGCAGTTGTGGTAACTTTTTAACAGGTCTATCCACTGAGTGTGCGGCACAGACTTCAGCAGAGCGATAGCACCGTTTACTCTCGCTGCTAAAATAGGTCAAGTTACAGCCCAGTCCACACAAACTCCGGAGTGCACACCCACGCCCAAATGACTGCCACTCTTCTCTGCAGTTAAAATTAGATCCATGACATGTTTTGTCAAGGATCACTTTTCAATACGCACTCTTGCTGATTGTGCATTTTGTTGTTGGCACATTTCCTGTCTTTTTGCACACCCTGAGTGATCCTGTTCATGTCAAATGGGACACATTTCTCCATTGTTAGATCAATCAAGTTTATCTTATCTTATCTAACTAAGATTAAGAGATTCTTTGTTTGTGGACCAACGGCTATATGTGGTTTTTACCATTGTTTTTCTTGTGTTTGAACTTCTTAATTCTCTGATCTGTGTTGATAAATTCAACAGTTTTGTAAAGTCCTCCGAGATCGTTGTTGTGATTTAGGGCTATACAAGAATACATTGATATGAATGGAATTGAATTTGTCTGACAGTGGGAACATTAGCAACACCAGTTAGAGAACAGTAGGAATGAGGAGCACACAGCAAAAGATGAGTGAACAATAACTCTGGCCCAAAATAAAATAAAATCTCTAAGCATTCATGTAAAAAATATGTAAGAATTAACTATAAAATCTCAGAATTTAGCATGATTAAGAAGTAAGTCTAAAAGTGTGTAAACATTTAAAAACTATGTCAACATTTTGTAATGTATTGTTGATTTTATCTGATTTGAGTTGGAAATTATTTACCAATGGAACAATATACAACTTTCAAAATTTAATCCATCTAACCTCGCTCTCAAAACACATTCATTTGAGATGTTTCAGACTGAAAAAGAGAAGACCACCATCACTCTATCAGCCCAAAGGCTCAAATAGTGACTTACAGGGCTCTTTCTTGTGCTAAAGATAAGATTTTTGATAAATGTGGTCTGGTTTGTTCACAAGATTGTACCTTTTGAAGACTATTTCTGTTGTGACAAATATCATGGATTCTTCAAGGAACAATAAAATAGGTACCCCCAGCTTTAAAAGTTTTTTTTTTTTGCTGTTTTGCTGCATTTTGCTGCACTGGAAAAGTACATAAAACCTGCCTAAATGCACTTGCATCTCCGTAAACCAGGTGGTCTGTAATTTTCCACAATTTTTCGATAAAGAAAGTCAGAGAATATTGTTCCAACATAGTTATTAGATTGTGTATGTGATTTTCAACCTCTGCAAAGTGCGCACTGTGGCTTTAAGCGCCCACGTTTTATGACCGTATTTTACAACTCATTGAAGCATGTTTCTTTTTTAGAGGTTGTCTTGTTTTAACTTCTCTGCGAGGAGGTTCTTGCTACAATCCTGAACCTATAATAATATGGCTGTAATTTGGTTTGTATAGCCGTATATGTGTCAAACTTGTCAAATCGATCCCGTGACTGCAGCTTATTCAAAATACTGTGGCTCATGTTGTGACTTGGACAAAAAAAAGAAAATATATTACATTAAGATATCATTTGATTTCAATACAGTAACATCCTCATGCTAATTTAATCATCTGGCACCTTTGTAGTTGTTTAATTTAGTTATTGTGCCGTAAGAAACAGATCCTTGGACCTCAACCATCTTACTCTCCTTGTGTAAATCTATAGCAGCTTCTGTCATGCTCCTTTTAAATGGAACTTTCTGTCTCATGACTATAGAGTAAACTAAAGATACATACTATTGTTTTCTTTTAGACATTTTAGCAGATCTAATTTGGAGGCAACACTTAAAAAAGGCAGGCCTCATTTCTGAGCGTGATGTAATAGAGTAAGAATTCATTATAGTGAGACATGTTTGAGATGGAAGCGTTGAGACAGAAGGGTGGTTGTGAGCGAGACGTTCCTCTTATATCAGGGTGGATGGAGCTAAAAGATCTGTTTACGATGAGGGATCACTGGGGCGCAGACACAGTGGTCTGTTTTGTGGTCTAAGGTACACACCACAAAACATTTAACTATGTAATAAAATCCATCTGACAGTACATGGCTCTAAAACACTAAAAGACACTAGTATTCTTTGGCCTCAGTTGTCACATCTTCAGATCAGCTTTTTAGACAGAAAAGTGTCAACTCTCGAACAGCCAATCAGCTCACAGGGCTCTTTCTGCCAAGTATCCAAAATATAACCGGTTTTCAAATGATCTAAAAACAGCATTGTTTTGGTGTTTGATTTTGTCACAATATTTAGGTTTAGGTTAGGTTTTAGAGTCATAATAATGTGATATTGATGAGGGGAAAAAGGTTAGATTGCATCAGTTATAATCAATTATAAAAGTAAAAATCAAGTAAAGTTCACAAAGAAAATACACATTTAGTAGTGCAGTAAAGTGATGGTAGCATAAAGTGACAGTAACATAATGTGACGCTAACACGAAGTGACGGTAACACAAAGTGACGGTAACACAAAGTGACGGTAACACAAAGTGACGGTAACACAAAGTGACAGTAACATAAAGTGACGGTAACATAAAGTGACAGTAACATAAAGTGACAGTAACATAAAGTGACGGTAACATAAAGTGACAGTAACATAAAGTGACGGTCATTTTGTAGCTAAAACATATTTTGCATAACAAATCTCCATTCAGCTACTCACCCTGTCGTTCCGTGACATAATTTGACACCTACATCTTCTCCCCCTGTGTCTGCTCTCAGATCGCAGAGACGTACTCCATCGTGTGCAAGAACCAGAGAAAGAAGCCTCCGATGGAAAACAATGGTGCTAAAACCCTGCCGCGCTCGTTCGGAGGCGGCCGGGGCAAAGGCCGAGGCGTGCAGGTGCAGGCCCGCTCCCAGGAAGAGCCCTGCTACGAGGTGAGCTCCTGGTCCACATGCGCCGTGGCCGAATCCGAGCCTTTGTACACCAACGACAGCCACAGAAGACGCGAGCAGCCCGGTAATAATAACACCACGGCGATCGGGAGTGCCACGCTGAAGAGGAAGAAGCAGCAGCAGCAGCAGTTGGTGGTTCCTCCTCCAGTGGTTCCTCCTCCAGTTCCTCCAGCTCCTCCAGCTCCAGGCCAGGGCTCCGGACCGGCTTCTCTGCCCGTCCGAGGCATGCCCGGCGGGGAACACTTCTACGAGAGCATCGGCGACGTGAAAACCGGAGCTACCAGCGCCAGTACGACCACCATATTCACGTTCAACGACGGCATGGAGATGTACGTGACCGGACTGTAGCTCCGTTGAAGAAGGGACAGCTCTGTTTACTGTACATAAGATTTAAGACCCTGTTAAAACTATATGGAGAAAAAAAATCTATTTGCATTGACATCAGGTACAAACAGGGTCTAATCCAGGTTCAAACTCCTCCTCTTTTGGTCTGCGTCGGAGAAAAAAAAAAAGACCAAACCTGTGTGTGTGCGTGTGCGTGGACCAAACCTTTATCAAAAAAACATGGCAAAACAAAAAAGTAAAATGGAAATATACATGTTACTTACCGTGTGAAACGTGCGTGTGCACCATTTTCCATCATATTTTTATTTTTATAAGCACTGTGCTCTCAAAGGGTATCTTATTGATGACATGAGAAAAATCTAAAATGTGCATGCGATGGACAAAAACACCTCACAGTGAATTATAAAAGACACTGGTGAAATTAGCAACAAAAGCACAAATGTAATCAGCACAAACAAGCACATAATACGTAATATATTCCCAGCTGCGACAAAGTGGACCTCTGGCAGGCCTGGTTCTCACTACGGCCTTTAGTACCTGATAAACATGGGTTATCCAATATTATTCTCCCCATTTTATTGCCCCTAAAGTGTAAATAATCTTTCGTTTTAATCTTGTAACTCAACAGCACATTTGACCAGTTTTCACTAACACCAGGTGGACCAGGGGGGTGTCTACGCATTATATATCGACATGATTTTAAAACTAATTTTCAGATTTCAGATACGCAGTTTATTGTGTTGTATTTAATTGATCAAGTTAATCAACCTTTTCCACATAAATCTGTCGTGTTGTATTCATTTATTGCTGTATAATTCATTAAAGTAAGCAAGCACAGTTTATTAATAAATGTATGCTGAGATCAAGGACACAAATATAGATAAAATAGAGTCAACAAGGTGTGTAAAAAAAGGAAATCGCAAAGAAAATTTGGAGCCGGATTAAAAACTGCCACAAGAAAAATCAGGTAAAAGTTTGAACAAAAAAATTGGCTTTTGAAGGAGTTGGCTCTTCAGTGACATTGAGTAAACCTAACATGACAGAATTATGTGAGAAAAAATATGCTTATTATCACTTAAATCCAACGCTTTATTAATTAAAATGAGAATATTTCCAAAGAACAGAGTTATTCTAAAATAGTTTATATGCACATCATGTTAGACCTATCTGGTTTGATGGACAACATACATATATTTATAAATACTATATATAAATACTATAAGTTTACACATTCAGGATAACTGTGCTTGAATGCATCTTGTCTCGGGCATTTCCAGAATATTCCAGACTTGTTCTTGAGGTCTTTTGATGCAAATAGAAACAAGAAGTCTCAAACAAGTGTCCTTTGGATGCAGATACTTCCCTTTGTGTCACTATTCAATCTTCTCCAATAACATTGTCCGTGTCATAGGCTGTATATTAGGAGTGGACTGACTGAATGCTGACCCCTGGACGCTGATCTGTAGAAGAAGCCAATTTGACCAAAAGCAAGCTGGAGCCCATTTCCTTATATGGGCATTTATTTCCCACGGGGTTCGCTTCGGGTCATAACAGGAGCAGACATGTTGTTAAGATGGTTGCTAAGCTGGATTTTCCTCTGTGAATGAAGGTATCGGATTAGTCGATCCTTATTTGGCTCATAAAATTACAAAGTATCAACAAAAAATATCAAAATATCAACACCGGAATCAAAGAGAGTGTGAAGCCACTGATTTTAAAGCCCAAAATGGTGATCGAGGAGTTCACTCTTCAATGTAACCCAATAGGAGCCAAAGCAACTTGGAGCAAGACTTTGCCCAGGAGCACTTCCCTATTGAGCTGCATTAAGCAAGAACAGGGGTCTCCAACTTTTTTCAATCGGAAAGCTGCTTTTATACAACAGAAGAGGCAGAGCTATTCTTATTTTGCAGTTGTAATAAAAGTCTATGTTGTAATTATGACAGAACATGGAGAACACACGTAAAATATCCCATAATACTGATAATACTATTCATTCAAGACAATGTGTTCAATTCTAAATCCTTTGGGGAGCTACCTGAATGAGCTACTGGTTGCTCCCGAGCTACAGGTTGGAGACACCTGAGCTCGAGGGTTAGCGGTGTCCATCTATATACAGTCTATGTCTGCAGTGTTATTGATCATGGGGAAATGTAAACAACGCCATTTATTTTGAGTCAAAGAAAATGAAAAGAAAACGGGTTTGAAACGGCCAGTCACCAACAGTAGGAAAGTATTTAAAACAATTCTCAATGTTATTTACTGCACTGTTTATGAGTTTGCCAATCTTTTCTTTGGTTAAAGAGCTCATGCCACTGCCATGGAAACAATATGTTGTTTGTGCAATTTTGCTTGATCAAAAAGTGCATGCTTTAATATATGGAGAATAACAATGTTGTATTTAACTGATCTTGTTCTAATGTATTTTTGAGTTGTACTTTTTGCCATGTAATGCAAAGCTATGAGATATGAAGATTGTATGCAAGCGTTTTCTCAGCAGCAATGGAGCCATAGGTGGATAAAATAATGAGATGGCTAAAAGGACATTTCATTAACGTTACAAGCTATAAATAACAATAACAGTTTGGGGAAAAAATGCACACATGACACTTGACTGGTGTTCATCTTCCGTCCTCCTCCCACTCTCTGGTGCAGAAAGGTCTTTGAAGTCCGGGTCACGCTGGTGCTGACAATAGTCCAGTCCCATAAAACATTCACCTACAGCTCAACTACTGCCTGCAGAAAGATCTCCTCTTTATTGAGTTATTCTGTATCATTGGTCTCACTCTGTGTCACACTTCTTAACCCCAGAAAGTTTTTGACATGTTTTGTTCAGCACTGATAACAACCGATGTTTCTTGCACAAATATGAACCAGTATGAAAATGTAAATGTGTATAAAATTCTGTTGCTGTTCTAATGTTGTTCAATGTAACATACAGTAAACAGTATATTTGTTCTACAGATGGTTATCACAGGCACATTGTACTTTGTGGATGCAAAACTTTGTCATGCTTTCCCTGCAGAAAGACTACAGATGCTGTTTGTTCATAGTCTGTTATGGGCCAGTTCTGCTGTGACAGCTGTAGCCAATGTTGTATGTATATGAAGCACAGGGTTTCCTTCAAAAGAAAAAAAGATATGAACATATAGTGTGACAGTGCAAATATGCAAAGATTGTATTGTTTTATATTAATCTTCATAAAATAATAAAGTGAGTTTTTACTTTTCTAATAAAGTGTCTGCCCTCCGCCAAATATTCTGTTCTGTTTAGACCAGGCCCAAGAAAACGGATAACTTTTACTGAACCAGTGTTGACACAGACCAAAAATGCATGCATGTGAAACCTACTGGTAAGTTAACTTCTTAACCAAGTTTAAAGAAAAGATTATGGAAGTTGTTTTAATGTACCATGCTGCCTTTGTTGAAAGAAGGTATACATACATAGAAGAATAGAAGCTATACATACATCCCCATGTAGTAACATTTTAACCCAGCAAAACCAGAATGACTGGATTTTAAACCCTACACAAGTGTGAAAAATCGTATCTGACTGCTGTTTCTCCTTCATTATGTGTCTGTAATTGAATACGGCTGTGATATAAACTCTTGCAAACTCCGCACATACGAAAAGAAAGCAAAACAGCTCCAAAACACGCCATTACGCAGTTATGGAGCTCGCAGTATTCGTCGCTGGGGCTGTGTGTGCTGACATGACCCTCTCTCTCTGCTTCCTACGCCCCAAACGCCGGCCGGTGACTGGAAGCCCGCCCCTCTGTCTCCTTCATGCCTCCCCTCGGAATTCTATTGGTGAAAACGGTTGACAGACTGGAGCGCACGGACCAACCGAGACGCGCCTGGCCGTGGACGCGTGCCAAAGCCGAGCGTTTGTGCACGCGACAGACCAATGGGAGCGCGCCGAGGGGGGCGTGGTATGCTTTTGGAGGAAAGAGGCAAAACAATCTTTTATCCTTCTGACCGGGCAGCTTTTTAGAGATCCCGGGTGGTGGAGGTGGTGGTGGTGGTAGCAGTAGCAGCGGTGGTGGCAGAATAACTTTACATGTAGACTAGTTTAGTGCCAAGACAAATTACCATCTCATCTCGACAATCTTCCTAAATGCATCCGCTGCCAGCAGTTTGCACTCGAAACGTCGCAAAGTGATTATTCGGTTAATCACTTTTGCCCTGTCTCAAACGCATGGACTCCAGATACATTATGGACAAGTCAAGGGTCAGCGGCGTGGACTACAGCTTCAGGACAGGCCGGTCCGTGCGCAGTCCGCCTGACAGACACGGCACGGTTCTCTACACGTTCGTACTGGACTCGGCGGCTGAGGGCAAAGGCGAAAACCTTGCTGCAAAAGGGATCGGGCTGTCTGCAGATGGAAGGCTATTACACGTCGTGGAGAAGGTAAGAGACCGCTTTTCTATGTGCGCTTTTCGAACCCGGTAAAGTCAACAAGCGGCAGTGCGCAGACGCCGTGACGCTGTTTCTAATCATATTTCCACCGCTTCAGAGTCTGTTTTCCCATTTAAACAGTTGTCATGAGCCCAGTGCGTCTGTAATCCTGCATATGTTGTAGCTTGTGTCACTTTGGTGCGTAAATATGTTTAATTCTCTGATTCACTTTTGACCAAACGCACAAAAACTGCAAACACTGTCAATATGAATGAGCTACGTTGTGAACAAACAGCTTTTAATGGCGGCGACTCAAGCGGTGTGTACAAAGTTTACAGAAAACGGGGGCAGGGACTTCAAACTATTAACCATCCCCCTCCTCCATATCGCCGGGGTGGAGCTATGGAGAGCTTCCAGAAGCTGTGCCTCTCAGGCGCATCCCCACAACACTACTTTCTTCACTAATCTTTTCTGTGCACATTTCACCACATTATAAGCGTCCATTAACAGTTCATATTCAGATTCATTGTTTTTGCCATATGCAGTGAAACTACATTGAAATACTTTTGCAAAAGTCCCCAAGTATATAATTAAAACAAGGTTACAAGTACAGGAATAAAACAAACAAAAAAAAGTGCAGGAAACAATTGACACTGTAAAAACTAAAACTGTTTCAATCACGGACAAGATTATTTAAAGTGCCTTCTGCCAGAGGGAAGAAGCTGGAACATGGCTTTTCCAGGGGCCAGAGGAGTCATTGATTATTTGAAGAGCTTGGTTCATAAAGAACATCCAGAACAGCTCACAGCATCTTGTTTAGCGCTCTCCTTTCTTTGACGGTGCACACGGTCAAACCACGGTCACAAAACCAACGAGTAAAAGTCTAGTTTTGTCACTTTTGTTACCATTAATGACGTATTTGATGTGACACTGATGAAAGCACATGTTGTATGATGTTGTATGATGTTGTGTACTGCTATGTTCTCACTGCTCCAAATGTTGTCCTGACTTTAGATGAGCCGGAGGGAGCAACATGATGCTGGATTGGTAGAGGGTCTCAGGATGGCCACCCCCCCTCACTGCCCTGGACTCAATGGGCAGGTGCCAAGAGGACTCATGCACTTGGACATCAGGAACCCAGGGGCCCAGGCCGAGCTCCAGGGCCAAGGCAGCACCCCGACAGAGCGACAGCCCCACTCCAGCCACATCCCAGTGCCCAGGAACCGGTACGCACACTTCCTACTTCTGCTCAGCTCTGCTACTTATGGCAACAACACTGTGCAAACACATTCGTCCAAGCGGCTGTAGTGAAAGTGCAGCTCAGCCTCTGGTGATGACTGCACAACATGGAAATTAATATTGTGTGGGTTATGGTCAACTGACCACATGTTTGCTTTGCTTTTTCCTTGATATACTTTTGGAGAGTGAGAGTCTGAGAGAAAGTCAACAATGTGCTTACAATATATGACTTTATAGATTTGCATTGGATATAGGACTATTTTGTCGACCATGTTGTCTTCTGTTCTTACAAAGTAAACCGTGAAGACGTAGAACCTTTGCATAGAGCACTTTTTAGGTAGTGTGCAATGATTGGTAGAGTTCACATATTGACATGAACACAATAATAGAATCAATGCAGTTTGCTGTTGTTTAATGCACATAGAATATATTTGATACAAATATTTATGCACCACATTTTCTGCAGATTACACAATGCTCCATGTACTAAGTGCACATGCAGTGGTTTTTCTTAAGGCCGACTACATGAAGAGCAGCTGTGGTTATATAACAGGAGCGGAGCTGGGAGAGGCTGGAGGCGGTGCCTTCCATCGTTTACACTTTTATTGGTTAGTGTGTCTGCAGTGACTCCACAGTCGGACGTCAACACACTCTTAGTATATATCATATTTTAGGGAGGTTTGTGCTACAGTAAATGAAGGTTTCTTTAGTTTATTTGTTTTAGATAAAGACCAAACCAAAGTGATATAAAAGGCTTCAGCTTGAAGACGAGTGACCCTCTGATACAAGTGATATTTGCATGTGTTTATTATATACAGCAGGCTTCAGTTCATATGTTCCATTAGCTATATAGTATGACTACAACACTCTTTTGTACATTCTCTAAGAATTTATGGTTTAAAATACAAACCTGGAACCTGTGACCTGAGACTTTCTCCTTCTAATCTCAAACTTCATGTGCAACTGGCCATGTGTGAAGCAGGTCCCTGGGGGCCACTCAAGATAGGACCTGCCCAAAGTAACAATTCAAAGTGTAACAAATGTTTCCTTTTGTTTCTGAAGTCATTATTGTGTTATTGCATAATCCTAAAACAACCGGGTCATTTTTGCCGTGGCTCTTGTTCCAGTGACTTTTATGTATTTATCTTGTATCTATCGTTTTTGTTTTGAATTTTCTGATTTACCAGCATTCAGGAACTTGCATTTAACTTAGACAGATGTCTTAGACATCTGCTTATAAATTGCATTCGGCCCACTATCTAATAATGCTGACTGAGTCCGTATTACAATGTGGTAAATGTGCCACACTTATGCAAAATAGACTCAACTTTTCTCAGTTCATCTTTTTCCACTTTTTCAAATTTGACTTTTGTCATTTGAATTCATTGGTTTGTGCAACAACAGCATCAATCAACAACATAACTTTCCTAATGTCTTGATATATCAGTGATGTCATTACTCAACACCCACAGAAAAGCTACACTGTCACTGAGGACAAGTCCAGGCAAAGACCAGAGAAATACAACAACCACCAACAATAGGAGCCTGAATTTCACACACAGAGGATTAAATACAGTATTGCTACTAAAACCACACACAGATTGATTGAATTAAAATAGGACTGTTATCTTGATTTGTTTTTACATTCAAACTGTATAAATAATTATAGCAATGAGAAAATATGTTGTTTAAGTGAGAAAATTGTAATATTCTAACGATTACAAAGCATTTTAAACTTCTTCCAAAGACAGACTTCTTCTCAAAGCAGACTGCAGATGTATTTTGCTTTAGGACATAGGTCATTTTTCCCAAGTAAAGATATTAAAAAAACAATCATTTATTGATACATATTTCATAATTCTATACAGTGTGGCCATTGTTCATTCTTGGTCCACAAAAGATTTACTGTGAGATCCATCTAAAACTGGAATTCATACTGGTGTCATGGTGCCAGCTCTTCAATACTAGTTTGGATATACTACTTTGAGCCATGATGAATATCTCAATTTTCAATCATTTTGACAACCTCAATTCAGGACCACATTTCAGAACCATATTTGTCCTCGGCCCATGTTCCTTTTGTTCCGAAGCCTTGGACAAGCTGAGCTTTCGCTACCTGTCAATACTCATCACCTCTGCTCGCTCTGCACTGATAACAAGACAAAGGAAAAACCAATGGAGAGAACAAAAAGACAGTTTGGGACTAAAGCAGTTCGTTTTTTATGTCAAACGCTGCTTTTTCTTATCTGTCCTTGAGCAGGTTTCACTTGATTTCAGTGTATTTATCTGATCCTTTTCATAGGATTACTTGTTTTTTATTTTTTCTTGTTTTAAGCAATCTGAATTGGAAAAATCCTGATCCACTGGCAGATAATTTTGCTTGAAAAAGTATATTTCCAAAAATAGTAGCTAGTTTTTCTTGTTTTTTTTTTGTGCCACTTTTTGCAGTGTTAGTATTACTCCGATATTTTTATTGAAGTTGCTGGAAGTTTAGCTGTGTGTGAGTTTATGAAATGGGCTATACAAGTATAATTACCGTGCCTTGGTAAAGTAACAGTGGACACATTTAGTTCTATATTGTACATTGGAATAATTTGAATAATTTCAGCTGGAGGGGCCCTGAATGTAAATTTGAGAACCAATGCTATAATGGTCATTTTATCACATGTTGGGCCATGCTCTGTGGAGAGTCTGGAGAGGAAGCAGCCTCCTCCCCCTCCACAGTCCCCCCCAGAGGACACATTACAGCCGGTTTGAAGGTCAGTGTCAAGGGAGCAGCTAAACACCCCCACCTCTAATGCTGATTATCCACAAGACAATTCAGACATGGCATCCAAAAGAAGCCACATCCACACTGGTTCCTCACAGATGGGTGGGACTGTGACATCTCCGTGACCAAAATTATAATATATTTGGTGGTATTGGTGTGAAGATATGGGACGTATCTCCTTTGAAATAAATATAACAAACTCTAGCTAGCTGTTTTGAAGGTAGACCTCTGTAAAAAGGACGACAGTAGCTCAGTTGGTAGAGCATTGGCCTTTGGGCCTGAAGGTCGTGTGTTCGAGCCCACCGTAAGACCTACTTCACGACTCCCACTGATGACTGCTGTCGTTGTGTCCTTGGGCAAGACACTTAACCCTACTTTGCCCAAAGCCCCAACTGAAAGATCTCAGCTCCTGTGGACTCACCATCTGCAGGAGGATCAGTGAGGGGCTGGTGCTATGTGTCCTGGGTGCAGCTCTGGCTGGCCCCCCCCCCCCCCCCCCCCCACCCCTGACCCAGAAATGGATTAAGGGGAAGAAAATGGATGGATGGATGGACCTCTGTAAAAAGGCACATGTCGTTTTCTTTCAGACCTCTGTCTTCAGATTCAGATTCATTTTATATGCCCTTTACAGTAAAACCACATTGGAATACAATTGTAAAAGTCCCCAGTGCGCACAAGACAAACAAAATAAAATACACAAAATAACTAAATCAGTTTCAATACAAATGCCATTCAAAGTACCATTTGAGTGGAATATGACGGTGGTTCTTATTGTTGACTGTTAAAACAATTGCTAAAATGTTTAATTGTTCAATCATTTCTTATTGTTGAAATGAGAAATAAAACATTTTAAATTTCAGTTGTATTAGTTTTATGAATTCCCAGGAATTCTACATATTACAGCACAATGCAGTAATATTTACAGTCAATGTGTAGTACCTAATATCGGTATTCGATATCGGCAAATACTCAAATGAAGGTACTCGTACTTGTATCGGTTTAAAAAAAAAAAAGTGGTATTGGTGCATCCCCACTCATCTGAGAAAGTGTCGACATATTATGATTGATTTCTAGTTTAAAACTTGTGGTAGCACACAAAGTACTAATATGATTATAATTTAAATTAAATATTGCAGCGACACTAGGTATTCAAATTGGAATCTATTGAATGTAGAATCTATGCTTCCAGCCTTCTTCAGAGATGTTCTGAGTCCTAAAACTCAGAACATCCTTTGGACAATCCAGCTTCTCCTTCATGGGGGTAAAACAGTGGAACTCTCTCCCGCTGGACTAAAACTGCAGAGTTCATGACCATCTTCAGCAGAGAGCTCAAACAATAGTTAAGATGGAGACAGAGTTGTTCTCACTTTGAAATGTTATTGTAATTTGTTGACATTTATTTGATCTCTGACAGCCCCCGTGGACTAGTGTTGAAAACTAGCACCTGTGCTTTAACAATTACAGCAATGCATCTGGTTCGGCCAATCGTAATGTTATGTCTATATTAAATAACAAAATAGATAATTGATAAATAAATAATACATACATAATAAATAAATACATGCATAAAAATCGTAATTAAAAGCTACTCAAAACTTATGAATCACAGTATTTATTATTATGGAAACATTATTAATTTAGGGCCATATTGTAAAACTGTGATATTATAACCTTATTCCTGATCTTGAGTTTAAAGATTTGCGATACATCTCTGCCATTTGTTACAACCAGCGGCTGCTCCCATTGATGTATTGAACCTCCTTCGAAATGTGTTTTTTCTCAGCTCATTCCCTCTTTACTTGTGAACTTCCTCCCTGGCCGGGCTCTAAAGGGTTAAATCTTCAGCTCTGACAGCAGCGGGGTGGAAGGTCAGGCTCGATGAATGGAGTCATGGGAACGGGAGGGGGTCGACCCAGGACACGGGCGTCTACATGTCCGCAGGTCGGCAGCAGGATCTAGGTTATGTGCTGAGCAGTCATTTTACAGATACTGCATTATCTGAGGAGGCAGAGGACAGAATGTAGTGATTTTATTTGTGTCGTGCTTGTTCTGTGTTTGTATAATGCTAAAGTGCACAAAACAAAAACTTGATTCTGATATTAAGGAATATACTTCATATTCTCAGACACCACAGTGATATTGACATTCAGTTTTTCAGTATAAAGTTGAACATTTAAAGCAGGGGACACAGGGAGCTTCTGCAAGTAAATAAATAAG